GTGATGACTGAGCTATGTTACCCACCCCCCATGCATTTCAAGCCTAGAACAAATCAGAGTCTCTTGTTAGGGGCTCCATCAAGGTCTTCTATAATAAAAGACAGCTGACTGAACTTCTGCCTGGTCTCCTAGGTACCTTCTGATGGCACAGTTGTATGCTAGGCCTACCCTTCCCAAATGTCTTCCAGGATACCTACTCACTTTTTAAAGACAGTTATCGTTTTCTGTGATATGTGGACTGGGAGTGTGCCCCTCCCTCCTATTGAAAATAGCCAACATTTATTGACACCTTCCTGTATACCTAAACACCTGGTTTGTGTCATCTCAGAACAGGTAAAAATCACTGGCCCCTATTACTCCTTATGCTAAACCAAGACGTGAGCACTCGCACACTCTCGTGTACGTACACACCCACACCCACAGCAGTTAAGTAACTTGTCAAGGTCACAATGTCTTTTTAGCTCTATGTTCAGGGACCTTGTGGTGATGGCAGGGCATGGCCCACAGTGGAAACCTCCTTGCCCACAGAAGGGGTTAAAGGGGCAGTGTCTTCCCTTACAGTTAGTCGTTAAGTACCAGGTTCACCACAGCTATTTTCAGTTCCCTGAAGGTGCCTGCCTGTGGGTCTGGCACAGGCTGTTCCTTCTACCTCAAATACCCTTCAATTTAACTGCCCTCCACCTAGTTCATGCCCTTAGAAACAGGGTTTCAGGTATCCTTGGCTAACCTAGAACTTGATAAATGACTGAGGGCGACCTGGAACTTTGGATCTTCATGATTCCATCTCAGGTACTGGGAATGCCATCATGTGCCGCTAGACCTAGTTTACGCAGTGCTGGGGACTGAACTCCCGGCTTCAAGCGTGGTAGGAAAGCTCTGACAACTGACCAACTCACCCTGTAGATTTCAATACAGGTGTCTCCTCCTCCTCCTGCAGTGGGCACCCTCATTGCTTTACTGTGCACTGACTGAGCAGCTACTGTATATGGGGTTCAGAGCTCAACACTTGCATTGTGAGATGGCCTAAGAGATGACCTTTGCTCTTTGAACTCTGACACAGATCTCTAGAGAATCCCCCACACCCCCAGAAGTGAGCCCCTGTGAGTCAAGTTGGGCTAAAGACAATAAGAATTGGCGAGGATAGCCATAAAGGAAACTGAGGCCAACAGAGGATGCCAGGTGTCTTAAGAGAGGTCAGGATTTAGAGTTTTGTGTAAGATTTCAACATTGGCAGCCTACTACTTATTTTTTCTTTGTTTGTGTGTGTACATGCTGATGTGTTCATGTGTGGATGGGTACATGAAGGCTTACGTATGTGGAAACCAGAGGATGACATTGACTGTTGGTCCTAAGGTTCTGTCCACGCTTTCTCTTTTGAGACAGGCTCTCCCATTGGTCTGGTCTGCCCAGTAGGATGGCAGGGTGGCTAGCAAGAACTCCTGTCCTTTTGACTGCATTGCAAGCAATTTACTGACTGACTTATCTCTCTGTCCTGGTTACATGTTTTGAAAAATCACTATGTGTGCTAAGCCCAGTCACTTCGAGGAGAACATACAATATCTTCACTCTCTGGAACTTGCTGCTGGGTCTAAAAGGAACAGGTTAGTGCCTAGACCAAAGCCAGGTGCCTGGCCACTCCTGCTCCAAGATCCCAAGCTTCCAAACTCTGGGCTGAAAGTGAACAAGCAAAGGTCCTGGGAAAATCACTCGGGAACCCCTGGGATCTTGATGGGGCTCAGCTTCCCATTCCCGATTTGTCTGAGAGGAGAGCACTAGGTGTTTGGGTGGTAGGTCAGACCCAGAATTCTGAAGCCTTTTCACCAGCTGTATGACCTTGGCAAGCTCTCACACGACTCCTGCCCCTCGGTTTCCAGTCTCTTACGCATGAGAGTACAATCGCCGTGCATCCCAAGACTCGAAGAGGGTTTGAGAAGACTGCAGATGCTGGTGTGGCCTTGGGCCTAGTGGGTGCTAAGTGAATCCTGAATTCTCATCTTCCTTCCTGAACTGCCGCCTGCAGGAACTCTCCAACAGGAAGCATCCAAGAGGACAGTTGTATGTGGTGTCATCCAGAATGTTCCTGCGACCTACCAGCTCCCTGCAGAAGGAATCCTGGAAGACATCCTACAGGAGGAGGGCTGCAAGCAGATTTTTCTGCCAGGGGTTGCTGGATGAACTGTCCTGGGAAGACAAACCATATTCCAAGGCCAGGGCTATTGTCGAAGCAGAGGTTCTTGGAACAGGAGTGGCCAGGTGTCCTTGCTTTGGCCTGCTGCTCTTAGATCCAGAAAACTCCAGAAAGTGAATGTGTTATGAGATGCTTAATTCATGCCATGGGAATTTCCTGGGGCCCTGTTAGTGTGACAGCCGTTCAGGGGACTCATCAACAGGGTCACACAGGGATCCTACCCTCATGAGCCCAACCATCTCAGCAGGCTTTCTTTGCTCCTGTTGAGGACAGCCATAGCTTCACTGTGGTTTGTGTTTGAAAGCTCCGCACTTGAGCAGGTAAAGTCCTGCTAGGGTGAGGACCTGGGGATTAGAGTCAGGTGTGTGACTGGAAGCTTGGCTTCCCTGGCTGGCACTGTGTCCTTTCAATCCTACACTCTGTCCTTTGGACATTAAGTCTGTCTTGCTGAGTCAAAACTCCTACCAAACTCAGCCCAGCCCCCACACCCACCTAGACACCTGTCACCTAGACACCTGTCACCTAGACACCTGTCTCCTAGACACCTGTCTCCTAGACACCTGTCACCTAGACACCTGTCTCCTAGACACCTGTCTCCTAGACACCTGTCTCCTAGACACCTGTTCAGGACTGAGAGAGTATCCTTGAACACTGATGGCCCACCAGGGAGGGGTGTAGTGACACTCCTGAGAGCGGTCAGGGTGTGGTTGTGTGGTGGGGAGTCCACCTGTGCCTGGTGTTAGGGATGGGCAGCAGGGTTAGGGGAGGATCGGGAATGGGGGCTGACAGTGGGGCTTGTGCCAGCAGAGGGGAGCCTGGAGAAGGAGATAAATGCCCTGGGAGACTTAGGGATGACCCTCAAGTGCAGGCTGCCAGGTGTGGACACTGTAGAATCCCAGCCTGGAGGATGAGGGTCACGTGACATGGAGGCCCCTACCCAGAAATGGGATGTTTAGGGGAAAATGAAAGTCAGAGAAGGTCATCAGCGGTGAAGGGAGGTGGCAATTTTGGGGCTTTTGAAACACAATTTTGATATCTTGGGCTGGCCTTTATAGGTATCAAAGATGACCCTCTTTGCCTGTAATCCCTGAATGCTGGAATTACGGGTGTGCAGCACTAGACCTAGTTTACACTGGGGCAGGAATTGAACACAGTGATTCCTGCAGGCCCGGCAAGCATACGTACACACACACACGCACACATACACACACACACACACACACACACACACACACACACACACACACACACACACACACGATTCACACAGGTACACAATATCCTTTTTCTAGGACATACCATCATTCTTTTATTAACCCTGTTCTGCCTTTGCCATTGTTATAAGTGTTATGTCTAAGACCACACATCAACATCTCCTTGTTTTTCATTATTTAGTCAGTTCTGTCCCATTTAGGATGGCGAGGCCGGCAGGTGTTTGGGACAGAGGAAGTAATTTGAGGGGCAGACAGCTTGGCTTAGCAGGTGAAGACTTGCTGTCAAGCCTGCTTCTGTGACTTCTATCTCTGAGCCCACTTGGTTGGAGAGAACCAACTCCTGCAAGCTGTTCTCTGGCCTCCGCACGTCCCATGGCCTCGCGCCCCCACACAGCCTCCCCAAGGAGAAGACATTGGTCAAGAAGGAGGAATGAGAACACAAACTGGATGGTTCTGGCTGAGGCACCTGTCACTGCTGATCGTGTGACTTTACTCAGCGTCTCCCCCAGAAGGCACCGGCTCTGTCTCCTTCTCCAGGGATCCCTTCTGTGCCTGGCACACAGTAGACAACTGTTTCTGTGTGGGGTTGAGTTCCCAGGGCCATGGGGAAGGTCCTGTGGTTAGGTCCTGGGAGAGAAGTAGTCATGAGTGTTCCTGGCTGCTGCTGCTGCTGCTGCTGCTGCTGCTCCTCCTCCTCCTCCTCCTCCTCCTCCTCCTCCTCCTCCTCCTGCTGCTGCTGGAGATGGGGGGGAGGAGGGGTAGAGAGGAAAGAGGGCTGGGGAGATGCTCAGGCTCCTACTGTGATCCCTAGAATTAAAATGAAGCCAGACATGGTGGCGAGCACTGAAAATCCTCGCTCTCTCTGGGGCTGATAGATAGTTTGACTGCACTGAGAAGTTCCAGTCCAAAGCAGAAACCCTGCTCCAAAAAGTGAAGAGGGCAGTGCCTGAAGGTGACAATGATGACAAGGATGGCGATGATGATGATGATGATGATGGGAGACAGCCAGTTAGTTGGATTCTCACAAGTGCACAATGTCCTGTTTCTAGAATACTCAATCATTCCTTTGTTAGCACTATTCAGGCTTTACCATCCTTACAAGCATTAATATATGCACTGACTCACTGAAGGCTCATGACAGCTCTTCCAAGCAGGTGAACTACCTGACACAATGTTTTCAATTAGTGAGACTGTCTAGATTAGAACCCAGGATGGAGAAATTGTGACGTTACCCACTGAGCCACATTCTTTAATGTGGGATATTATTGGGTAGTTTGTCTAGTACCTTCCTGACTGGTCTTGTGGAGGAGGTCATGTTGTTCATGTTTCACTTGAAGAAACAGAGAGGTATAGTTACTTGCCCAGGGTCACACAGCTACTACGTGGCTCCTGGAGACAAGCTGGATGCAGGGATTCAGTAGTGAATGAGTCAGATGTCAACAGGTGGTAAGACTGGACTAGGGAAGTGGCATCTTGCAGTGTCCCCACAGGGGGCTTTACAGAGACTGTTGGGGCTGAAGGAGAGAAGGAAGACAGGGTTGTGAGGCTGAAGAAGTCAGAACAAAATAGAAGCTGCTGCCGTGGTCTGGGAAACCACAAGGAACCAGACACTGCCATTCCACAAAGGTCTACTGTGCAGAGGAAGTGTGCCTGGGAGGGGACTCGGGGCTCCATCTCTGGTGGGAAAGAGCCAGATCAGCTCAAGCCAGACCCTTCTGGATCTCTCCCCTGAAAGGTACCCAGCCCTGAGGCCTGCTTCAGGAGTCTTGAGGAAAGCAGCAGGGGGTCTTGAAGTGGGCCTCTCTGAGTTCCCAGGATCTTGGAAGGGGCCCAGGCAGCTTGTGGGAGGAGTCAGGAGAAGCTTAGACCAAGCAGTCCCAGCTGTTGCCTGTTCCCTGGAACTGAGGACAGAGAGGGTCCCTCAGGTGAGACTCATTCTTGGGGCTGCCCAGTAGGGGTGAGTGGGGGCCTGCCCATCTGTGGGGGAGCAGAGACAGCACAGGGTGCCTGCATCTCAAAACTGACTGGACCATTGTATTCTTTCTAGACAGGAGATGGGAATGGGGTCCTGGGCATACGGGGGTCCCTCATGTGACCTTGAAGGGCCTGTGCTCACATGACGGGCAGTTCCCTGGCTCCACATCCTCCTCTGTGATTCCTTCTTGTCTGCCTTGGCCCTCCACACCTTTCATTATCCAGCCCTGCTCTACTCTTAAATTACCTCACACTGTCCCTGGGCCCCTGTGGTCATCAGATAAAAACAGACAAGCCATAGCCTTGTCTCAGGGCTGCCTTGGGCTCCAGTGAGGGACAGCTGTCTCCAGGCCCTACTGCCAGCTCCTCCTCTGATATTGTTTTATCTTTGCAACCCCTTTGTAGGGACTCCCTGTGTACCTGCACCACAATGGTACAGCCAAGGAGCTCAGCTGGGTGAGGACAGCGGTGAGAAAAATGATGAGTATTAAGTCTTCTATTTACAGGAGAAGAGGGCTACAGTGCCGAGTGACACTGGGTGGGGTTGTCTCAGTGTGAGTGAGTCTGAAGGGAGAGAAAGGGAACAGAATGTGTAGGCTAGTGAGATTCACCTCAGCGGCTCTGGGCTTCCCTCTAGGGACAGTCAGGCTATTATTGCCTGGCCTGACCTGAGAGAGTTAAGTGTGTGGGAGCTGGGGTTGAAGGCTTTGACTTGCTTGACTGTGAAAAGCATGCCCATAGGAGAGCCTGGTCCTATTGTAGGAATTGGCTAGCCTGCAAGGAGCACATTCTAGTCATCCGCATCCTTGAGATGTCAAAGTTTTATGAAATAAAATATATAGACTGGGAATGTAGCTCAGTTTGCAGGGCTCTTGCCTAGGAAGCATGAGGCCCTGGCTCCCACCCAGCACCGTATAAACTGGCCATGGCGGTTGGTGCATGTCCACAGTCGAGGCGTGGTGGAAGTGAGATCTGTAATTCAAAGTCAACCCTGACTACATAGTCCAAGGTCCATCTAGACTCCAGGAAATCCTGACAAAAGAAAAAAAAAAAAGGAGGAGGAGGGGGAGGGAGGGAAAGGAATAAAGAAGGAAGGAAGGAAAGAAAGAAGACAGGAGAACGAAAGCGAAGGGAAAGGGAGGAAAGTAAGATGAAAAGAAACTAGGAAAAGAAATCAGAGCTGACCACAGGATAGCTCAAAGAAGTAGAGGAGAGTCAGTAGGAGGAGGGGATTCACCCGTTTGGGTTAAACCTTTAGGAAACTGTTTTCACCCATGTGAGGGCTCTCTGTCTGTCTGTGTCTCTGCTGTGTGTGTGTGTGTGTGTGTGTGTGTATGTGTGTGCACATGCACGTGGGCACATGTGTGTGTGCCCACACTGTATGTGGGCATAGAGGTCTGAGAGCAGCAGAGGGTGACCTGCTTATGTGGATACTAGAACCCAGACTCCCATCCCTGTGCTTGCACTGCAAGGACTTTAACTCGCTCAGCCCTCTTCCCAGTCCCTTGCCTGAGTCTCACAGCTCCTGAGTCTGAAAATCAACAACTGCTATCCGTGCATCCATTCACCCAACAAATCCCCGTTGGAGGGGAGACACGGTGGACCTGGCAAGGCCATGGGTGGTTTGGGAGTGGTGTGGATGGTGTCTGGCCCAATCGAGATGCCCAGGGTGTAGCCTCTGGTGTCTTTGCTTCAGCACAGCCTCAGAAAAGCAGCAGAAGAGGCTGCTGTGCCAAGTGGTGTCTCAGGTGGTTTGATCTGGGTGCTTAGAGCCCTCCAGATCAGAGGCTGTGTGGGGACAGAACTCTCGGGAATGTTCTTGGAACTCAAGGATGCTCTTGGACAAAGGCCTACTCAGTAACCAGGAGTACCAGGAGTCTGAAATGCTGTGTTTGCAGGCTGGGCCTATAGGGGTGCCAGGGACCTGGGCAGAGAGCACTGGCACAGGCTGGGTCACTTGGGGGCTTGGAGACAGTGTGGCACCCGAGCAGAAGTCCTAGCTGACCACAGGCCAGCTAAACAGCAGAGGAACCTTCTAGAGGCCACTTGGAAACCTTGCGTCTCCTCTGCCTATGGCCACGATTGCTAGCAAACTTCCAGCCAGGAGTCGTGTTTTTGCTAAAGACAGACACGAAGGTGGGAACCCTAGAAGATGAACTTTGTGGAAGACAGAACCCCAGGGTTGAGGGAATTTGCCCCTCTAGGAGGGGTGACACAGCGCAGTGAGGGGACAAAGACTTGGGGTCGCATTCAGATTCTATTCCATCAACTGAGGAGCCTCTGGCGGATTCTGGGCAGTTTCTGAGTCTCATGAAGGACTGTCCAAAGACCTGCAGTGTGCCTTGAGGCCACAAAGCCATAGTGAAGCCCCCAACGACCAGGACTCACTCTGGGTGCTGGACTCCATTCTGGAGCGCCTGTCGGGCCAGTCATCATTCTCAGTGCAGGAATAGTGGGGGGACCAACAGCTACATCCCTCAAATGAGCATCCGGGAACTCAGAGATGTCAGCCCCATGAACTACAGGAACAAGATACAAGTGCCAGCTCCCTCCGCCCTCCGTGCTCCAGCTCCCTCCTCCACCCTCTATTTACAGCTTATTCAGTGTCTGGTGTGTATGTGTAGAGGTACGCATCTGGAGATCAGAGGACAACTTGTGGGAATCAGTTCTCTCCTTCTACCATGTAGGTCCCAGGGGTCAAACTCGGGTCACCAGGCTTGGCAGCAGTCACCGTTACCCACTGAGCCCCCTCACCAGCAGCCCTCCACACCGATTCTTGCTGTGTCCAGGGGCCTGTCAGCTCCTGTCCTTGATCTTGTGCCAGCAATATCCATTTACACATCTGCCAAGGGGACAAATGTCAGGGGCACTTATCACTGCCACGGTCTGGCGGAGTCAGTAACGACCCTCTGTCTCTAGGGAATTCAGTGGATCAAGGCCTGGAGGCTTTGCCTTGTCTTTTCCGCCTGGAGCAGTCTGTGGATTACCCAACGAGGGAGGGAACACCCAGACCTAGTTTGGAGCCGGGTGGGGTCTAAACAGGCTTTGGCAGCGATGACTTCAAGGACACCATGCAATGTGTTTTGTTTTCCAGAACCCAAGATGAAGGGCCTCCTCACACTGGCTTGGTTCCTGGCTTGCAGTAAGTGTTGGCTCCATGACCTCTGAACCCTGCCCCCCCAGCCCCCCACCCTTCATCCTGTGAGTGACTAGGTAGTGGAAAGGAAGGTGACCACCAACCAGCCTTTGAGGTTCAGAGACCTGTGTGAGTCTCAGCTCCACCCTTGTGGGGCGGGCGAAGGCATCAGCAAAGACCTTGGTCTCCCCGGGCCCCTGCTTTAGCGCTGGTGGACGCGATGCTGTGGCAGGATTTGGATGCTGTAGGTCAGGGTGTGAAGGCTATGAACATGAAGAGGTGGAGCTTGTGAATGTGGGAGGCAGATATTTCCCCGAAGTGTAAAAATAGAACAAGAACAAACAGCAAGAACAAAATAGAACACAAAATCCTTAGGAAATATCCCAGCTCCGGGCTGGGGGAACAGCTCAGCAGCAGAGCACTTGCAGTATAGTGATAGATACATTTGGTTCAATGAAGAGGGGAGACAGAGAGAGAGAGAGAGAGAGAGAGAGAGAGAGAGAGAGAGAGAGAGAGAGAGAGAGAGAGAGAGAGAGACTCCAGTTGATTCCTGAGTCACTCTCTGCTCCGTATGTCTGCATACCACCCCATCTGAGAGGGTCTTCAAAGTTGTGGGGCAGCCACTAGAGAAGACTTCTTGGACACGGGTTTAAGGCGATAGAAAGTCTGCTAGCTCCGCTGGTGGCTACACCGGGTGATTGAAATATATATAGCCTTGAGCTTTTCTCAGGGTGAGCTTTTAAGTGCAAAAACTGTATTCTGGGTTGACATACTTCAGTTAGTAAGAACAGTTACCCTGAAGTGGAACTAAAGAAGCCAAGAAACAAGGCTAGTACATTTAGAGACTTCGCCAGAGTTTTGATAGACTTTGATGGATTGGGCCTTTGTCTTCATTTTGGCTGATGGTGCTGCGTACGTGCTGCGTTTTATGACATGAATGGTACTTCCATCATGGAGTCAGTCATGCTAAGGTCTGGGGGCCTGGTACATCTGGTTTTAAGCTTCACTGCAGCCCCTGGTGGGCAACTCTGCCCTTTGATGCCTTGCCAGCTATCTGGAGATCCTAGGAGGAACTTGAGACCCAAGGCAGTGAAAGAGCCCCCGGCTCCTTGCATTGAAAACCCTAGGCAAGATACTTCCTTCTAGACTTACAGGAGCCTCGGTTTCCCAATTTGTAATGCAAGGGAGTTGGCTCCAAACTCTGCTTCTAAATTCAATTTTTTTTAAAAAATTGGTTTTTTTTAAGAAAGCATCTCATGTAGCCCAGGCTGGCCTTGAACTTGTTATGTAGCCAAGGATGACCATGAACTTCTGAACCTCTTCCTTCTGCCTTGTGAGTGCTAGGGTTACAGGCATACTCCACACCCAGTTTACAAAGTGCTGGTGATCAAAACTAGGGTTTCATGCACGCTAGGTGAGTCATTTGTCAACTGAGCCACATCCCCTAACCCCCAAGAGCAAACTCTATTTTGCTGGGGGGGGGTGCAGGAGGTTTCAAGTCAGGGTTTCTCTGTGTAGCCCTGGCTGTCCTGGAACTACTAGCTCTGTAGACCACCCTGGCCTTGAATTCAGAGATCCACCTGCACCACCACTTTCCAGCTAACAAACTTTTAACTCCTATTCCAGGTCACGTGCTGTCATCTGCCTGGCCCTCCTCCCATCAACCGGGAGAATAAGAGTGCATGGGAGGGGTGGCAAGTGGGTTGCTGCCAGTGCTCAGAGTTACATGGGGGCTTGGGCTGTTTTCCAGGTGTGCCTGCAGTGCCAGGGGGCTTGCTAGAACTGAAGTCCATGATTGAGAAAGTGACTGGGAAGGATCCAATAGTCAACTATGGCTTCTATGGCTGCTACTGTGGCTGGGGCGGCGAAGGGACCCCCAAGGACGGTACTGATTGGTGAGCTGACATCATCACCACCTTTAATGCTCTGGGCTCTCCCCTCGTCACCTCTGCTGATTCCATGTCTGTTCTAGGAGATGAGAATTACAACTGAAGCTCAGCAGTAGAGAGATGTTCAGTGGTTAAGAGTGGTTAAGAGTGTCACTTCTCTTGTCAGGGGACCTGGGTTTGGGTCTCAGCATTCATGGTGGTCAGCTCACAATCACCTGTAACTCCAGCTACAGGGGATCTGATGCCTTAGGTCTCTTTGGGCACCAGTGTTCCCATGTGCACACACACACACACACACACACGTGCACACACGCACACACATGTGCACACACACATTTGCGCGCACACACACAAAACTAAAATAAATTTTTATGTATTTTTATTTAATTTTTTTCCAGACAGGATATCACTATGTAGTCCTGGCTGTCTTGCAACTCACTGTGTAGACCAGGCTGGCCTCGAACTCACAGAGATCCACCTGCATTTGACTCTTGAGTGCTGGGACTATGCCAGCTTCTAAAATAAGTAAAACTAAGGCTCAGAGGAGCTAGGCAGCTTTTAAAGATAAGCCATGTAACTCCCAAGAGTCCCAAGATCTCAGTGGCCTAAAGTGTCACTTGGTTTACTGAAATAAAACAAATGATCCATATGTGTTGACTTAACGCAACCATGACTGTTTACTTTGCTCATGAACCTGCTGTCCGGGGAGGCCAAGGCAGAATGGCTCCCATGCTCCCATCTGTTCAGTTACCTTTTGCAAAGCCTGGCTGGGGCTGGATGACCCACACCAGAGGGGGCTCATGGCTTTGGCCTCGGGCCCTTTCTATGGGTTCTTTGCAAGGCTATATCGACTTTCTAACAGCATGGTGACACTTGGGGGGTTATGAGCAAACATTCTCAAACTACAAGGCTCATTGGATATGGGAGTGGGATCCAGAAATCCCAGTCCCAGGAAGGTAGAGGCATGAAAAGCAAGAGTTTGACGTTGATGTGGGCTATATCGCAAGTTCCAGGTCAGCCTCAGCTGCCTGGCAAAACTCCACAGTGTTGCTTACATGGCTCTCTTAATTGGTCCAGCCATAAAAGCTCAAGAGAGACGAGACCTAGGCTAGCCAATGAGCACACGGATTCAATGGGGGGGGGTAAGCTTTGATGTTCTATGACTGTAGTCAATGTGCGGGGAGCAGCTCAAGAGCTGAGCAGCCTAAGAGAGATCACTGATGGTCTTGCCACCTAGAAATGCTTGTTTGAGGCGATGGGTAAGTGGTTTGCATTCCTATGGTGGTTGTGCAACACCATGGTCTTAGTTACTTCTCTCCCACTGTGAGGAAATAAATGTTAGAATGACTTAAGAGTGTAAGCAGCTATTTTGACTCAGTTTCAAAGGGCTCAGCACATGGCCACTTTCTGGGCCCGTTTTGAGGCAGGACACGATGGTGGGAATGTGTGGCCCCGGAGTTCCTTCACCACATCCTAATAATGCCATCATATTAAGAATCCATCAGTGGATGAAGCCGTTCATTAGCCCACATGATCTAATCTCTAGAGAATCTCTCATAGACACATCCAAGGGTGGGATTCTATAGCCTCCTAGACAGCTATTAATTGGGTCAAATTGACAGTCAAGATGAACAATTTCAATGGGATGATGTATAGTACCATTGTGCCTAACAATATGTCTAGGTACTTTGTGTCAGCTTGAAAAGAGAGAGGACCTGGATTCTACCTTTTGATAGGGGAGTGTCGCCCCTCTAGAAGATTGTGCGAGACAGGAGATGTTGTTCTTTGGAAAACTCAGTGTACAGAGTTAACAGTTCTGATGCCAGTGGGCACCATAGTGGATGGCATCAAATGGGCATCAGGGAGTTGGGGCAAAGTTGAAGTGGGACTCTGTGGATCATAAGCAAGGAGAAGGCTAGAATGACCTATGTGGTAATGGAGTGTAGTTGAACACACTATCATAAACTCTTGTTGGGTCTGAGGGCACAAAGGGTGGGGGAGCAGACCACCAAAGTCTGAAGCCGAAGCAAACCAGGGGGCACAAAAAGCTTACCAGTTAACTGGGACTACAGCCAGAGATCAGGCTTCTGAAACTGTGGCCATCGGGGCGGACTTGAGATCCCCTTTTAGAGGAAGAAGTAAGCATTAGGCATGAGCAAAAGAATTTTTACAATCCCGAGACAAAACTTAAGTACAGATGGTTTTTTACACTTTCATTAGCAAGGTCTTTGGCTAAGTTAGTGTTTGTATTAATTTAACTGTTTCTCCTGTACACTTCTAATGGTGTTTACCATAACTCTGCAGTTCCTTGGCAATGGCAGGTTTTCCCAAGGCAGGGAAGAATAGGAAGCAATGCAACCTGAAAGTCACAACACATTATTAAAAGTTTACTTCACTGCAGTTGTCGGTTGTAAGTGGCAGGGGTTTTCTGATAGCTAACCCTCAGTTGCCAGTCATAAAGCAAGGGACTCCATTGTTAGAAATGAATCCCTAACTGCTGACATGGCTGATGACTGTCAGCTCCTACTTCTTTTTGAAGCCACAAATTCAAATTCCTATGTGTTTATATTTCTATTCCTGGGTCCTTTATTTCCATATTCCTATTTCTGGACCTTTCATTGGTTAGCTTAATATGTAATATTACATAGACATTTATAGATATTGGGTTGGAGAGATGACTCAGTCACTAAAGTCCTTGCTGCAAGCATGAGGGCCTGAGTTTGGTTCCCCAGAATCCACATAAGGATTCTCGAATAAGCTGGACGCTGCTGTGAGAGGAGGTGGAGACAGGTAGATTCCTGGGCCTTGCTGGCCAGCCAGTCTAGCTGAATCAGTGAGCCTTGGGTTCCACTGAGAGACCCTGCCTCAAAAAATAAGGTGGAGAGTGGCTAATGGAGACACAGGACATAGCCCCCTCTGGGCTTCATATGCACACACCCCCACACCCACACACTGAAGTTTAAATGGGAAATGTCCCCCATAAGCTCATGTGTTTGGATACTTTGGGGCGGACTTTTGGGGTCTAGCTGGAAGAAGAGGTGAGACTTAGCTAGAAGCAGAGGGTCACTTTGGTGGACCTTGAAATATCTTAGCCAAATCCGCTTCCTGTCTCCACTCTGCTACCTTACTATAGATGCAGCGTGAGCAGCTGCCCCATGCTCCAGCCATCACGCCTTCCTCGCCGCCATGGGCTGTCTCAAACTGCAAGCCAAAGCAAACCCTGCCTCCCTCACGTTGCTTCTTGTCAGGTTTGACAGGGACAGGGATGGTAACTAATACACTAAGGAAATTAAAATACACAATGGATTTTTTTTTACAATTAATGAAACTGGTAATATATTATCACTTACAGAACTGGTTACTTAGCTTAGACTATATCTATAGCAATTCATTAATTATAACAAATGCAGCATATAAATCATGTGTTAGTAATAGAAGGAATCAGGAATTTCCCTGTACGGCCTCAAATTTTCTGTGAATCAAAAAGAAAAAAAATCAGGGCTTGTGAGGTGGTCCAGCAGTTAAAAGCATTGGTTGCTTTGTCAGGGGACCTGGGTTCAATTCCCAGCACAAGCCTATATTGCACAATTGTCTGCAACTCCAGTTCCAGGGTATAGGAGACCCTCTTCTGGCCTGGCTTGACACATGTGTGGTGTACAAACATAGATGTAGGCAAACCACCATCACATATAAAATAATAAAATTTAAAATGCCCAAATGAAGCCACAACATATAAAACACACTAGAGTTTAAGTTTTTGTTCACTCATATTATGCAATCCTAAAGCACATCCCCATTTATGGTTCAGCTGTCCTCTGCTGGGTCATCTCCACCACCTAAAATGGAGAAAGAGAAGAGGAAGATATGTAGGAGGTTTTCATGGTAGGTGTGGAAGCCATGTACATCACTTTTGCCTAGAACCTGGTCATGCAGCCATCATATCCACCCGCAAGGGAGACTGGGAAATGTAGTCTAACCATTGCCTTGCTGCCATAGTTAGGGTTTCTATTGATGATGACCATGGCAACTCTAATAAAGGAAAACATTTCACTGGGGCTGGTTTACAGTTCAGAGTATTCGTGTATTATCATCATGATGGGAACATGGGAGCAGACAGGCAGACATGGTTCTGGAGAGATAGCTGAGAGTTTTACATCTTGATCAACAGATGTAGGCCCATTGTCACAATTCTTCCAGCAAGGTCACACGTACTATGACAAGAGTACACCTCATAGTGCCAGTCCCTATGAGTCTTTGGGGGACATTTTCATTCAAGCTACCACATTCCATTCCCTGGCCCTCATAGGCTTGTAGCCATATCATAATGCAGAAACCCATTCAGTCCTGCTTAGTAAGTCCTCATAGTCTATCACAGTCTCAAGAGTGTCTAAAAACCCAAAGCTCAAAGTCTTTTCTGAGACTCCTACAATCTCTTAGCTGTAATCCCCTGCAAAAATCAAAATGGAAAAGCAGATCACATACTTCCAACATACAATGACACAGGACATACACCATCATTCCAAAAGGGAGGAAGGGAGCATAGTGAGGAAATCCTGCACCAAAGCAAGCCAGAAAATTAGCTAGGCAAACTCCAGACTCCGCATCTTGGTGTCTGAGGTTGAGATGCTCTTCAGATCTCCAGCTCTGTTTAGCTTTGTTGACTACAACATACGTCTTCCTCTTGGGCTGGCTCCACTCCCTGTTAGGCACTCTCCTCACCAGGGATCCCACGAATCTGACATCTCCAGCATCTTGGGGTCCACAAGGCAATCCAGGCTTCACCTTCATGTCTTCACACAATGGCCCCTCTAGGCCTCCATGCAGGGGCACCCCTGACTCATGCCTGGCCTCAAACTCTGAAATCCACCTACCTCTGCCTCCCAGGGCTCGGATTATAGGTGTGCACCCCCACATCCAGCCCTAAACTTTTCTTTAATTCCTTCTCACAAGTTGGAATCTTAACTGGTGGGGTTTTGCCCTGAGGTCACCACTCCCTTTATTCTGTCTCGCATCAGGCTTTTCATTAATCTTTTTATCTCCTTGAACACAGGACTTAGCTCCATTATACTTCCTAGTTTCTCCTCAAACTAAATTAAATTTTTTCCTTATTCAGCTTGCTCCCTTTCATTATAGATCTGCATAAGACTGACCACTAATCATCAAGAAGCACAGGCAATATTAGATTGTTTTAAAACTCCTCTGCCAAAGCTCCTAATCCATAGCTCTTCAATGTAGCTTCAGGCAGTTTCGTTTGGATAAGGGCAGAAAGCGGCCACATTCTTTTGCCAGAATATCGCAAGAACGGTCTCTAGGCTACAAACTAATATTCTTTTTCCTCTGAAACCTCTTAAGTCAGGCCCCCGCAGTTAAATCACCCTCAGCACCACTGTCTTCCATTCTCCTACGAGTGTGGCCCATCAAGGCCTGCTTACAGTGTCCAGTCGTGTTTCTAATCCAACGTCCCAAAGTGTTCCACATTCTTCTACACAAAAGCATGGTTCAGCCTACCTCAGCAATACAGTCCTTAGAACCAACTTCTGTCATAGCTAGGTTTTTATTGCTGTGAAAAGACACTATGGCCATTCCAACTCTAATAAAGGAACCTACAGGTCAGCGGTTTAGTCCAATATTGTCACGGCAGGAAGCACGGCAGTGGGGAGATATGGTGTTGGAGAGGTAGCTGAGAGTTCTACATCTGGATGAGCAGGAGCGGGCAGGGAATGACCCTGGGCCTGGCTTGAGCATTTGAAACTTCCCCCCAACAAGGCCATGCGTACTCCAACGAGAACACATCTCCTAATAGCCTAATCATTTTCACTCACACTACTACACCTACACTCTATCTAGCTACTAGGAGGCAAAAACAGGTCAACCAACTTCCGATCAGTGGTGGCCCTAGACTTGAACTCTCGCCTTAGAATCTCCCCTGGGTATGGAGGTCAGGAGGGTGCCTCTCCGAGCCTCAGCACCCCCATCTTTCACTCTGGCGGACACTATCCCTGTCAGCTCACACCCACTGCCACAAGGTCTTCCAGAGAAGCGTGGTCGCAGTTCCACACCTGCTGGGGGTGTCAGCCTACATAGCATTCAGACGGAATCTCCAAAGGGTAGCTATTGATTTGGGGGCAGTGATACCCGGCAATGAGAATATGCACACCGTAAAAACCATGGGCCTATTCAAGGAGGGTGAGGTAAGGGGAAGTTTTAATTAGCAGGAGAGTCAGAACTTTTACATAAGCTGCTTAGATACCGAACTCCTTGGTTGTGGAGACCAGAGGAGAGAGTTGGCATCGGCTCATTGGTGGAGGTGCTGTTACTAGGCAAGCCTTCTATGGGGAGCATCTTGTCTAAACTGTTGCAGTCTTAGAGAAAGTCAAACTTAGTCTCAGGCATCTGTGCTCTCAGGCAAGCTGCGTAAAGCAGGGGTGTATGCAGGACAAAGAGAGACGGATTGGGGGTTAGAAAGTCCTTCAGAGACAACTTAAATGACCAAGCACAGTGGCTCCCTTACCCCCTACCCCCACCCCCAGGCACCTTTGGCTCTGATTTTGTTTAGATTTGCCCTGAACTGGTCTCTCACCTTGGGATCTCTCCCAGGTGCAAAGGTCAAGAGGATACCTCTCCACTAAGCATTCCCATCCCTTGCTTTGGCAGGTGCTGTTGGATGCATGACCGCTGTTACGGGGAGCTGGAGGAGAAAGGCTGTGGCATCCGGACCCAGTCCTATGACTACAGATTCACACAAGGCATGGTCATCTGCGGTAAGGGTGACTTCCCGTTCAGGCTGGGAGTCACGCTACTCAAGAGATGGTCCAGCCCGTGTCTTGTGAGGCAGAGTGTGGGTGAGGGGCATGGGCTGTTGTAGCCTTTTTAGGTTTCCAGGGAAGGGTGGGCCTGGTTTAGACCCACTGTTCAGTAGATTCTTCGGGCTTGCAGATTTCCTCTCCCTGGATAGAATAGGTTTCATCTCCCTTATTTCACATGTATAATGGAAGCTCAAAGGTTTGCCAGTGTGCAACAGGAGGGACTCGTGCCCAGGGCCCTGAATTCAAAGCCTGGCCCCAGGTACAGCTCTATTTAATGCCTTCCACAGAAACTATCTCCACCCTTAAGATAGGTGCTCCACTCAAAGGGGATGTGTCTGCTCCATCAGAACTGGGACTCCCTGAGTAGAAACCTCATCCTGTTCAAGATCTTGGACTCTAGTTCAGTAGCCAAGCCTCCTCCATCCGATCACACATCTCCTTAGCTCAGGAGCTGAAGCTTTCCCATCAGATTTTGTATCACCCTGGCAGAGTCCTCCTCCACACACTATGAGATTCCCTCCAGAGCAGGACACAGATGGGGTCTATGCAGACTAGAAACCACCCTAGGATATGACTTTGAACAAGGCAGAGTTGGTGGGGCACAATTTTTCCATGCTCATTCGGCACTTGGTGTCCCTTTTGTAGAATACGGGTCCTTCTGTCCGACGAGGCTGTGCGCCTGTGACCGGAAGCTGGTCTACTGCCTGCGGAGAAACCTCTGGAGCTACAATCCTTATTACCAGTATTACCCCAACTTCCTCTGCTAATGCCTTGTATGGGCTGTGTCCTGGCGGTGCCTCCTACACTGGAGCCCCTCCCCCTGCTGTAGTCCTGATTCATGCCCCAGAGACCCAGGGCTACACTCTGTCCCCCAGAGTCCTAGAGAGGGACTCTGGTCCAGGTTTGGCAAACTCCCAGGATGGCTGAGCCTGCACTTGTGAAGTTGGCTCTGGGCCCAGGAGCTCCCCCAGCTCTAGGCCAAAGCCGTGTTGACTTTTCTTTCAATTTCTGGAACTGAACTGTCATTATTACCCTCCAGAGACCTTTTACTGGAGTAGAAGGCAAATTAACTCTATAAATCTGCTATGTAGATATTAAATAAACCAATTCTCAAGGCTAGTAAACACCCCCAGCATTTCCTCTGATGGGGCTGGGGTAGGATTGCCTAACCCTTTCTAACCCCTGAGGCACCTGCATGTCCTCAGGGGTAGAGGTGGGAACAGGTGGGAGCCTTCTTAGAAGCCTTTCAAATTTTGTCTAACTTCATCTTCTTAAACCTTGGCATCCTTTAAGCCAGACCTGGGGCTCATGCTTTTTCTAGAGGTTAGAGAGGGCAGCATCCAGCCCTCAGCCCTGGCCTCTGGGTAGTCTGAATTGTTCTGACTTTCTTCAAAAATATTAAACGAGACTCCATCCAGGTGCATTGTTAGTGCCCACCCCTCATCACAGTGCCTGGGAAGTGGAGGAGGCAGGAGAGTCAGGAGTTCAAGGCCAGCCTCTGCTCCACAGCAAGTTTGATGTTAGCCTAGACTACATGAGACTATGTCTCAAAGAGAACCAATTAACTAATTAAAATGAGACTCCTAGCATTCCCCCGGTGCAGATACAGGGCTGCAGGGGTCCTGAGATGCGTTCAACACTAAAGGAGGGTTTCTTCACTCACGTCTCCACAGTCTGTGCAGGACACATGAGGTCTCTATTCGGAGAACTCCAGTGTTCGAACATTTTCTAAATAAAGTGAATTATATGAGACAACTCTGGATTCACACCTTTCGGCATATGCTAGCGACTATATTTAAACAATACCAGAGTGGGCCTCACATGCTGAGTTCACATGTGAACATTTCAGAATCAAGGGGATGGGAGAAATGGCTCAGTGGGTAAAGAGTCAGCTTCAAGAAAGCATGAAGACCTGGACTGGATCACCAGGACTCATTAATAAAAGCAAGCAGGCAAGCAAAGAAAAAAATGCTGGGCATGGCGTGTGTGTTTATAATCTCAGTAGTGGGGAGGGGGAGAGAGTCAGATTCCTGGAGCTCAATAGACAGCCATTGGAATGACAACGGAAGTAGTTACACACACACACACACACACACACACACACACACACACTTACATGGGCATGGGCACAAACACATAGACCTATACACATTATTTTTTTTCAGAATTAGAGCCATTTTCCAAGCTCAGCCTTAAGTGGGTTTGTGGGGAGCTCAGAAGTGTCCCTCTGATGCCTGGTGTTTGCCTTGATGGCATGAAGAGACAGGGATCCTGCTTCTCCTGTCAGGGTCAGGTGCCAGGCTGGGTGTCGTGCTGCTGGTAAGTTCTACCAAAGGACAAGCAGTCAGCTCCTTCTCTCTGGGCTTCCTGTCTTTGAGCCCCAGTATCCAAAGATGCTCAGTTAGGCCAGGGAAACTGTAAGGTTGGAAAAACAGTAGCACAGCATGGAGGCTTTGGGCTGTACAGGACCTTGTGGGTTCTCTACTTATCTACTAGGGCCAGGAGAAGGTGGGAGACTGATCCCAGAATCAGACCTGAAGATGTGACTCGAAGGCCTCCCTTTGCCCATTATCACACACTGTCCTCAACTCCAGTTCAGTGAGGGAGTCACAATTCAGTGACTACTCCCATGCTAGGGGCTTCCCAAGAGGTGCCCCTGGACTCAGACCAAGAGCCATCCACTTTTTTCTCTGTTCTAAATGTCTCTTTGAATTGTCCCCTGGGTGGTTAGTCTGGCAGGGCTCCAGGATTCCTCCTGCTTCTGTGGAGCCCGCACATGGTCCTGGCCACCTTGGGCCCACCTTCACTGCTGTAAACATCTCTGAGGCAGCAGAGAGCTGAGTGAACTCCCAAGCCTGTGAAGAAACCTCCTCTTGTTTGTCTGTGGACTCCTAAGCAGAAACCCCATCAAGAGAAGCCATCTCCCTGAAATTTCATGGCTGCCCTTTAAGAGCTATGGAAATGCACAATGTGTAAAAGTCAGCGGGGATTGTGAAATCACAGTCAACGGCCACTGGGACCGCAGGACCCACGCCAGTGTCTGAAACTGTGCTTAGGACTCAAACGGAGCACTGACAGGGGCCAAATATGTGACCATATAGATGCCAGTGTGAGCATACCTGTGTGTGTGTGTGTGTGTGTGTGTGTGTGTGTGTTCACAAGCTCATAGCTGTCCCCAGACTGAAAAGGAGATAAAGGGGCAGTCTCCTAGTGGTAGCTGAGCAGGGAGGACAAAGCTCAGCAAGCTAGTGCATTGAGCTCCGCCATGCAGGAGGCTGCCTAGCCCGGGGCACCCGCAAGTTAGGCAGATGGTTTCATCCAACGGTGAGAGTGCCACCGGAAGTCCAGGGAGGTAGAGTGCTTTGCCCAAGCCCACAGAGGTTCCGAGGAAGGCAGGTTGCTCAAGCTGGAGCAGATGGTATCCACCGCTTCAGAAGCTGGGAGCATGGGCCAGGTCTTGTAACAAGTCTGGAGGAAAACTCATTCTGTTTCCCTCAGGCTGAGCCCAAGCTGTGCTTCCCAGAGTTCCTTTCCCTGAAGAGCACTGGGTTTGCAAGGGAAGGAGAGGGGATGTTTTTTGTGTCCCTTGTCTGCAAAAGCAGAAGGGAAGTTGCAGACATTCTCACTTGGCACCTAGAAGGTCTGAGCCTAGCACAGTCAGATTTGCTCATGGCTCAGACCTACTGTTACAGGCTGGCTCACCTGGCAGAAAATCTGCTGGGTTTCTCTGCACTGGGCCCAGGTGTGTTTTTAACTCAGTGGGTGGGGGGCTTCTGGAGGATGTGACACAGCAAGCTGGGCTGAGGACTGAGACACAGTCTACCCCGCGGACACCTCTCCCCCTCACCCTCCTGGCTTCCAATCCGACCTCTCCATCCATTTCAAAACTGTCTTCCCTTCCCGACTGTCGCCCTACTAACTTCCAGCGATACCATCAAGCACAAGGGAAACAGCCTCCCTCCCATATCATGGGACACCAGCCAGATCCCCACATCAGTATATCATTGCAGAGTGGCGTGTCCTGCCTCTGAATTTGTTACTAGTTGTAGTTTCCGAGGAACAGAACCCAAAGGAAGGCTTTCTGGCTTGCTTCGGGATTATCTGGGATTGGTTTCTCTTCTTGATTAAAATGAATTTATGACTGGGTTTCAGTGATAAAGGGGACATACATTTTCCACAGCCTTCAAGGCTCAAGTAGTGACCTCATTGGTTCTTATGCATACCCCATTCAAGCACGTAGTCCTTGGATTACCAAGTAATTGGTGCAACAGAACATTTTAGTGAAATAAAAACTATGGGAAGGAGAGCTTATAGGAAGAAACCATGAATTCGAGGCTTTAAATTCCCACCCAAGATCTGCAGAAGGGAGATGAGTGTTTTCTTGCTGCCTGGGCAGGGTACAGCTACCCACAGAAAGCCTGGGGAGAGAGGGCACTGGAGCTTCCAGCTGCTCCGATGCGGTCAGAGCAGATAAGCTTGGTCCTTGGCTCCTGCTTCACAGATGTTTGTTTACGTGACTTGTTCTGTCATGAAACTGTCACAAACACTGACTTTAGCTGTCAGATCAGCATTGCTCACTTATTTTGCAATGGCCCAGCAGCAGGGGCTTTCCATCTGATCATGACCTGGCCAGAGGGACTGAGCTGAGTCATCTCTCCATCCACAGGACACCACTCTGCTCTGTCCCACAGGTCACATTGTGCTGGATGGGCCTGGTGATCCTTCCCTTCCTCCCTTCCTTCCTCCCTCCCTTCATTCCTTCCTTCCTTCCTTCCTTCCCTCCCTCCCTCCTTTTTCTTTCTTTTCTTGTTTTGTCCTCCCTCCCCTCTCCCTCCATCCCTCCATCCCTCTGCCTGTCTTATGGCATCTTTCCTACTTTCAATCCTTTCTGTCTTGGCCAGTTGTGGGGACAGGGTCTTCACATGTAGCCCTGGCATCCTCTGTATAGACTAAGCAGGGATTACACTAAGATCCAAAGATGCCTTAGATAACAGTAAATCCCACCACAACACGGGGTGTTCTGTTTCAGGGGCTTCTAGGGGGACCTTGTGGCCTGGAGTCTGCTGAGAAACTTCTTTTGAGAGGATCGCTGGTTGGTTGTTTGGTCTACTAAGTCATCAAGTCACACGTGATTATACTTGCAAAGGGCAGTGACAACTAGGAGATGGGGCTGGGCGTGTCTGCAGTGAGCACAGATGCACTGACCCCACCCCTGCCACAGTACTTAAGGAGTGAGTGTCCTGTGGTGGGTTGGCTGTGTGAGAAGATCCAGGCCCGTCTTGCTGACATTCACTGACTCTTCTTGCAAGTGAACCTGGCTGTTTGGGTAGGATATGTTAATGTGGTTGGCTTCTGTTCTTGGTGCTTCAGTTAACAAAAAGGGACTGTTGCTGGGCATGGTGGTACATGCATATAATCCCAGCCCTTGGGACATGGAGGCAGGAGGCTCAGGGTTTCAAGGTCATCCTGGGCTACACAGAGGTCAATGACAGCCTGGGCTACTTGAGTCTCTGTCCCAAAAAAGGGCTAGAGAGTTGGCTTTGCCGTTAAGCACACCCGGTGGTCTTGCAGAGGACCTGGTTCAGTTCCCAGTACCCACAATGGGCAGCTCACAACTGTCTGTAACTCCAACTCCAGGAGATCTGATGCCTGCCCTCTTCTGGACTCCTCAGGCACCTGTACTCGTGTGCACATATACATATTTTTAAAAACCAATCTTAAAAAACAAAACAGAACAGAACAGGGCTCACATCCCCCCAAGGTGACCTCAGGCCTTTGAATTCTGTTTTCTATGCCTTTGTTCTGTGGCTGTCTAGTGGGCTAATTCATACCGTCTTTGTTAGTTTGCTGGGGATGTCTCTACAGTAAAGTGGGGTACAAAGCATACATTATATTTCCTGGCATACAGTTGGCACTTCATAAATGGTACATGTTGTGGGATGTAAGCCTCTAACTGCAATGTCAGTCCCTAAACACAAGAAGGGAGAATCGAGGCAGCTATGAGCCAGAGGTGGGGAGGACCCCCCCTCTGTCCCAGACCCCGCCCTCATGGCTGTGACTACAGGTGATGCTCCAATAGTGTAGTCCTCCTTAGGGGAGCACTAATCAACTTCCAGGAGGAAGAAGCCATGGTTGTGAGAGAGACAGCACCTACAGGGAGACCCTAGCTGAACACCAGGCAAACAGGCCTGCAGCTGGTCCCAAAGGCTACTCATTCCCACACTCCACCCTTTGCCTGTGTGGTGAATCAGGCTGCATGCACCAGCTCCACCTCACCAGACAAAGTCTTCGGCACCAAGGCTCGGCCCGTGCTTCCTCCAGAAAAGTGTGTCATCTCCATCTTCCCAGCAGGGGTCATCCTTCCTCTTCTGGTCTTCCACAGTCTCTCTCTCTCTCTCTCTCTCTCTCTCTCTCTCTCTCTCTCTCTCTCTCTCTCTCTCTCTCTCTGTCTCCTGAGCACCCACGGTTAATACTGTAACACATGCTTACTAAGCATCTGCCTGTGCCAGGCTTGGCTGGACTCAGACATCTGCCAGTCTGTCCCTCAGGAGGTTCACGCTGGCGCAGGGAGTGACTGGCAACAGACAAGTACTAGCTTTGTGAGAGAGCGAGATTAAGGGAAGAAGACCCGCCTTAAACCAAGACACGGGGCAGGAAGGAGGATGCCTGCCAAGGACGTCTGCACCCCGTGTCCACCGAAGCGGAGCAGCAGCCGACGACTATGAAGGGCGTGGTTTAAACACCAGCCTCCA